GTTTTCTTTTCTCTTTCTTTTCATCCCCATGCACAGAGCATTTGTATTCTGTAGTGAAGTATGTTTGTGTATGCTTCTATGATGCATCCTATTCGTAGATGGAATAGAATCAACATACTTTTTTCCCCCCGATAATTTGTCATGCCCAACAAAATATAATAATTCATGTGGGAATATTGATATACTTTACCGTACATCCTCTATTTTATGTATTTTGAAGATGATTTGATTTTTTTTTCTCCACATAAAGGTTTTTACATCAAACTGTACTCTGATAGAATTATCCAAACAAATTTGACAGTTTCCAGCATTTCAACTCTCAAGGATTTCACATAAAAAGCATTCTTTACCTTTTACAGCATTTTTTTAGTAGTTTATGTAAAAGAGAGAAATGCTTGCTATAGAAGATAGTAAGACAACAGCAGCAGAAAGTTTAAATGAATTATACTTTCTATATTTATTTACAATTGATATGTTCATTTTCAGAACTCAGTTTACAAATCTTCAAAGGTCTCAGTCTTTAAAAAAAAATAGATACCACCATTTGATTAGCTACATGCGTTAGATTAGATTCACAATATCTAAAGTAGATTGTAACTCATTGCTCAAAGGAAAAAGTATGGAAGTGTAAATGTATGATTGAACATTTTCTTCAGGGAAACTTTAATTCTTGAAGGTTTTTTAGTACAAGGCATATGAGAGGTGCCCTCTACATCACAGAGTTGCCAATTTGTGTTTTAATGATTGCACCTTCAAATATTCATAACTTTCTTAATTTTAATCGGCTTTGCTTAAACTTTCACTGATCTGTTTCTCTCATTTGTCTGCTTCTTCTAAAACCAGCTTAATATCAGGGTGGATCGACATCCCCTTTAAGGCCAGTATATACAAGGATACCAGTCATAGTGGTGGTGATGGAGCTGTTTACAGTTTCACTTTCCTCAAACTATAACCCTTCATGCAATGACATCTCAACGTGATCAGCTTTCTCATCATCTGTTCAGAGCCAGAAGGGCATTAACTCTGTGTTAAATGATATAAGTTAAGCCCTTCTGGCTCCAAACAGATAATATTAGGGACTTTTAGATTTGCACGAAGACAATGTGGATTGCTACGATCGACGTCCCTCTAATGCACTGCCTTGAATGGGCGTCACACGTATCAGTCCACGCAAATCTAAAAGTCCCTATTAAGATGGTGACAACCGTTCATGGCCCTTAATGTTATATGCCATACTTCAAGTTGTCATTCATTTTCTGTTTTAATATTTTTGTTATTGTTTATCTATGCATAGAATACACTTCAAATGTCTTCAAACTTTTATTTATCAACTGGTAGAGAAATTAGTTTGAGGAATTTCTTTGCAAAACCCCTGTGACTTCATTCTGAATCCATTGAATACAATTTGATCGTGATGTAACACACATACATAATGTACATGCAGTCCAAGTTACTTCAAGTTCAGGCTATAGGTAGGCCTATTCAGTTGGATGATAATTCTGGTGTAAAAGGAATACAAGTTCAATGAGCATTTTGTTATTCTTTATGCATGACTTTGTATCATAGATAAATAATCACATTTTAATCAAAGGCAAATCTCTGAACATACATGTAGACATTGTGAATAGAATTAAATACATAATACACTGTATATATGCAGGGAAACCATTTACAAAGTAAAACACACATAATTTCTACTCTGATAAGTCCAGGAAAGTCCTACATGTGATCTCTCATGTATAAGTAGGCCTATGCATCATCTTGCCTTGATCTGAGAGTAGCATCTGTTACTTCTAGAGTCCAGAAGCTACCAGATGATCTCACACTGAATCGCATCCAGACTATTGTTAGTCAATCTGCGGTTCGGGGTTGTTGTAATGGTGTATATTTAGCGGTTGCTGACAGTGACCTGCGTGCTATTACGGGGATCATTCTAACCCAGGCCACGCGCCGTTGGGATATACGGTAGGCACACATCATCTCAATGCTATGCCTCTTTCACATCGGAAAGAAACCGGGCACTCATAAATTGTTTTGCTTGATGTCCACGTACTATTAATGCACAGTATGTACACATATACATATTGTAGGTAGAGCTACACTCATATAGATATAGACAGAGAATGTCAACAAGTACTGTAGCTCTACTCTCTCTAGTTTTATATCCAAACAGGCCATTCTTTTAGTCAGAACAGTGCTTTAAAAAATTCTGACTCTCTGAGTATAGATTATTTTTTTCACCATATTGTTGCAAGGAAAGTTATAACTCATCATTATGGAAAATTAAATTACCGGTAGTTTTAACTTTATGCCATTAGGTTAGAAGGGTTGTATTGACTTTTTAAATTGAAAATATTTCAATTCAATTTGAAAATATTGAAATAATTGAAATCAAATCTATATTTTGCCAGTTTTGATTAATGGAATAGAGGTAGATCATTATTCTTAGACTAAATCTTTTTACCCAAAGCTATTTACCCAAAGAAATACAATGAAAACACATCCAGTTTGTGCTCAACTGAACCAAATTTTAATTTGTTTTGAATATAAAAATGATAGTTACTATTATATCTGAAGCTACATGTATTACACCTATATGCAATTGTACGTTCTCATCTCTTTTGGATGCTATTAAGTTTCAAGTGTGGAGAGGGCAGGAGACTGAACTTGATTCTTCAATTATTTTGTCCTACGTCCTCCATCCAGCTATCTCAGGAATTCACTGTTGGTATGCTTCCATACCCCCCCCCCCCCCTTCATCACACACTCTATACATGTGCTGCTAGTCTAGCAAATAACACCCTGTTAACCATGTGAGACATTGCTGCGTCGTTTGTGTATGTAGTCTGTCTTATGTACATGTATATATACATTAGAACTGATTGATGATATTAAGATATTGGACCAAGAATCTAGAGCCGCAGCTAGAAGATTTTCCGTTTCAATTATCATTTAAAGTTTGCAAGGAATTTTTTAAAAACACTAAAAACTGATATTTAGTATTCCCTATTTTGTAATTTACAAACTAAAGATAGATACGTGGTTATTAATGTTAGTCTTGATTGCAAGGATAGAAATATGATGAACGCCATAATTTACAGCCAAAATTAATACAGTAACTGAATAGGAAAACAGATCTTGTGTAGAAAGTAGAAAGAACTATATACTGAGAGGTCTGAATTGAGACTAAGTCCTATCTGTCTTGATACAGATAGCGGACCTAGTGCCCATGCTCAGTGCAGTGTCGATGGCCATGCATGCACAACGATTCCAAACCAACTCATTTTAGTGCCCCCTTCCCCTTCCTCTGGCTGGCCGACCAGTAACCATCGTCCCGGACCGGCGAACTCTCCAGACCAAGCTAAAAGATAGGCGACGCAATAATGCCGTCACGACAGGATGCCATAACTTAAAAAACAGGGACCTCTCCACTTGCTCACAGTCGAAACCTCACCCCTCCCCCTGCGACAACGACAATCGGCCTGTCATATTTTGTCTGTTTGTTCGAATTGTAAATAGCCCCCCTTTCCTCCGTGATCCCCCCATTTTTCTGTCCAACTCGCTGCAAGTGCAAGTGGAATCTTCATTACTTGGTGGTGTGAGGCTTCGAGTGACTTGTTCGTCAAACATCTCTCTGTGACTCAAGTTTTTTTACAGTGGATATACTTTCTATCATATGGATTATTAATCACTAGCGATTGTGCATGGACATTGTATTATATCTTCCAGCTTCAAGTACATTGTAATATTTCATCCAGCTTCATTTAGACATTTAAACTGCCGCTAGCATCTTGTGTTGTCTCATTGTTGTATGGATGTAGTATATTTGTGGAATATTTCTTGATTAGCATCATGATCGATCATTTTAGGAACGTGAAGGGGAAGGAGTTGGCAGGTATGTGATTCTTGTGGTGTTTAATGAGGTTTCCATCTTTATTAATTGCATGGTTAATCAAGGTAATTAGGTGATAATAGCTCCTACGAACTAACCTACTACAAACCTCAATCTAGAGAGAGGATCCTCTTCAGGGGTTAAAGAGTTGCGATTGATTTGGATCAATCGTAAGTCATCCAATCAATCGCAAGTTTGCAGTTTCCTATCTCTTATGTACATAGTTGTGATTGATACCAATCGCAAATAAGTTGCAAATTAATATCAACTCTTTGTAAGACAGGGCCCAGGATAACTTTGATACAATATTAATGCCTTCCTCACTCTTGTAATTTATGAAAACTTGAAATCAATTACTGGTACATCCAATTGAAAAATATTTTTTAATTTTCATTTCTTAGAACTTTCTCTGTTCAGTAATATTTTACGGACATTAGCTCAAATCCTCTTCATCAGTGGCTAAATTTGAAATTTGCTTCAGAATCATCTTGGTTTAAGACAACATGGATTAAATTCATTGATCATCAAAAGAAAAACTTATTTCTTGAATTGTTTTGATTGTGTATTAATCAATACCTTCTTAGAAATAATGAACTCTAACAAGTTCACTGTGGTACACATTTTTACAGTGATATCAGAGGTGTGATCTCTGGACTGACCTTAGAGTTATTTCAAGATAGTTATTTTAGGATATTGTTTTGTCGGACCTTCTGCTACAGGGCACTTAGATGTCTCAAGTAATTACCCCTCTCACTGCTCTCAAGTTAAAGGTTAAAGGTTAATTTTAAAGGTTAAAGGCCAAATGTCACCTTGTTGATCATATCCAATCTAAACAGCATTGTTGTTTATAAACATAAACAGTTGCATAATGATGTGCATATATTTTGATTGAATTTATAAAAGATGTAACTCATGTCAGTAAATATTCATTATTCATTTCATTGAATCTGTAAGTTCTTTTTGTTTTTGAATTTGCTGTTAATATCTATGTTGTTTGTACTGTTAAAATGTTCTTCATTCTGTTGAATCTCTTCATCAAATGTGTTTTTTTGCATGTAAGACTAAGATGATGATTAAACTAAATCTTTTATTTTGTTTGTCTTTGCAGAAAAGCTCCTGAACTCCTCAGGAAGAGAGCTTCGTCGAGCGCTCTTCTCCCTCAAGCAGCTCTTCCAGGTAAATGTTTGTTCTTATCAGTCCTTCCTCTCTGTAAATTAACCGTCTCATTGAGAGGTTGTAAGGGTCACTGATCCTTTAAAACATACCCTTCATGATTGGGTCGTTGAACTGATGGTATGACTGATTCTGTATCCTTTTAAAGGTAGTTTAATCAGGGATGCACTGTAGAGGTTTGCTGAGATTGTCTGCTCATCAAATCTTGTAGCAATGTTTGAGGTGTAAAATGTTACTCTGTACTCATCAGAGCTGAGGTTCATTGAAGGTCTAGACCACTGTGAATCGTATCATTGCAAAAAAAAGAATGACAAATTCCAGCCATGCGCTTTGGGCACCTGGGATATGTAATACTTGAGTCTTCTGATTTTAATATATTGGAAAGAAATGTTCTTTGAGAGTTCCGAATACATGCATACCACCTCCTAAATAAGAAAGTTCTATGGAATATAGCAGGGATTTCCTGGGATACCTTTGATGTAACTACAAGATTGTACATAATATTTTTTGTTTGGAGCCACGAGGCATTCACTCTGTGCAGAATGGTATGAGTAAAAAACCCTTCTCACTCTCTGCAGATGAATTATCTACTATAATCACTTACAACTTGATTGATAACTTTTACTCCCTTTTTGTTTTCTTTTTGTCAAATCATCTTGTGAGATTTAAGACAATGTGATGAACATTTAAAAATCCATTTACAATTCATAGGGAAATAGAGGAACATGAATGGAGTAATCTTATATGTTTACCATGGCGATAGGAAATTCCTAAATGCACTCACGGACGCAGTTGGCCCAAATATCAACTTTCAAAGATTCTATGACAACTTGGGATATCCTGCAAGTGGGAGATATCTAGGAGTTTATTGGCAGTGTCAGATTGTTTGCTCTGATTTTTATTTGAGATAAAGATGATCATCTCAAATATATGAACTTGAGAAATGGGGACATAGCAGTGGGGAAGGGGAAGAAGAAAAGCTATTTTTGTGTTTCAAGGTTTTTGACCACGACTTTCCTTTCCAGCTTTCCAAAGTCAGTATCTTCAGTAGTCTGCACGCCAAGACATTTTCTGTGATATATCAATGATCAGCAAGACTATTTCAGTCTATATTTTAGTCTGAATCATTATTACATTTTTTTCACAGAAAATATTTTTATTTCTGAATTCATCATAAATTAACAAGGGCATGAACACATGTTCATATGATATCTTTTAATTCTGTATGGTATGTGAAAATTGATGAAAAATATATTTAGGAAGAATCATTTCAACATGACAATGAGTTATTTGATTTAAATTACATATACATTTGATAAGAATATTTTGATTATTAACTTCTAAATTTTATTAAAAAGTTAGAAGAAAGAAAAAGGAGGACATTGTAATTGGATTTTAATCTTTTTTTTTTCATCTATATATTTAATTGAGACTGTATTTCCTCATCTTTGCATGTGAGTAGGTGCTGAGAGCAACTGTTTAACCAAGTGAGACCTAATCTATTTTTGTAGTCTGGCAAATTTCTCTCTGTATGGATTATCCTTTCAGAAGTGTTGAGTAATTAATATGATATATAAATACTCATACCTCTTGTTGTTTGTCAATCAAAGTAGTCAGGGCAAGAAAGAGGGTATTATTATTATTAAACCATCTTTTTGTTGTCATATCATTCTACTAGTGGGTGATTCTCCTACTACTTCTGACACTGACAATTGCATAACATTTGATAATTGATTCTGACGTTCCATTTTTGTCAGAGGTACTTACTTTCTACTTAACTATTCTAAATTTAAGATTAAATTGTTCAACTTCTATTAAATGCTGTCTAGTTTATAGTGGCCTTATCTTTTTTTTTGTTCAAACTTGTGCTGTGCAGTATTTGGCAAAAAGGAATTAGAAAATGTGACTTAAAATTTTGCTCTTACAAATTTATCCTGATGACGTGCCTTACTCAATGTTAATTTCTTGCTTTTCTTGCTTCCATTTACAAAGACAAAGTAGACTGATTTTTCAGTCTTTTTCCTGTGGTGACTGTGCATTTAGGTATATTGTAGAACAATTACATGTATGTAGGATTCATTTTACAAACTAGATCCCAAGCATGCTGCTTTCTAGTTATGGTATCTATCAATCTATTTTTACTTTGTTAGGTTGGGGGCATTCACTAGTTTGATCAGATTACATTTGTCATGAAATGCAATAAACCCATTCCTGTTGTTGCCAGAAACAATACTGACGTCTCTGTCAAAATAGATATGTCCCCACACACAGGCATCACCCCGGAATGAACTCATTTCTAAAATGGAACGAATACAAAATAAAAATAACTTGAACTGGAGGAGTCATGATGCTCATCCCGCCAGATTGTTATCAGTTTAACAAAAAATGTCATTCATTATCAACAGGTTGTATATTTTATGACAAAAGTGTTTATAATTCCTGGATGAACGCAGTTTGAACTCGTGCACGTTTTTTAAAAGACTGGTTTTGGGGAAAAACAACTTACAATGTTCAGTACATGTACCTAATGCAAAGATACATGTTTTCAGATAAAGATTACTTTAAATTTGTTGTTGCTCCCAGCTTTTCGGGACAGTGATCAACAACTTGAGGATTCTTAGCATTTTGTTCAAAACATATATTACTAGATGCTTCTTTTTTTAGCACATTTGCCAAAGTCACAGTGGTAATATGGACTCCTATGGAAATCAGCTTTTGCTGTTTGGATGTTTGGATGTTTTACCTTAAGAGAAAAATTGAAGGAAGGAATGAATGGAAAAGTCACAGCAAGCCAATTATATAATTTGGCGACTTTCATGCAAAAGCAGGAATTGTTTTTAGTTTTGATATTCATACCGGAAAAATAGAGCAGGGAAGGGGGATAATTGGTAGAGATTTGTTGGGATGCCCGGAATTGCCTGAGTCTGGCAGGATATTGAATTTTGTGGACTGATTAGGAAAACCTCCTTTAAAGCATCGAAACCTGCTGTACCTAAAGGTTTTGAGTGAGAATATCTCTGTAGTGTATTTTAACAAACTATTGAAGGAGTCTTAATAGGTGTATGAATCTGTGAATTTCTTGTTTAGCTTTGTACAAAATAATACTCATGTCAGACATACATACCGGTGTTAATTGAAGCTTCAGTATTTGATATTTCTTTCCTAATTACATAACATTTCCTATTTGGGGCCAACAAAGCTTATTGTAAGCACGCATGTATAATGTAGATAATATTTACTACTATGTATAAGATGGTCACATGACTTTAAAACCCTATTATACACATACTGCCCTAGAAATCATATTTAGATTAATTACATGTACCGGTACATGTTATTGTAAATAATGTTGACATATTTCATAAGGCGATGGGATGGAGAAGGCTATGGGATGGAGAAGGCTATTGAAATTGCTGTAGGTTGATTTATTGAAAATCTTTTTCAATCACGTTCAATTAAGTTTCAATCATGCTTCTATTTTTTTTTGTGAGTTCTTAAATTTGCGGTTGCCTATCTTAGCAGGAAATCTGTGGTAATCAATTCACCACAAATATTTCTACTTTTACAGTGTCCAGAAGTTAATCGATATGTTCAAGTTTTCGATATCAGAATGCATTTCCTGACACAGTATGCATCCCAAAGGAAGAATGAAGAGCTTGTAAGATCTTTCCGTAGTTTGCTGGATCTCGTTTACCTCAGGATGTGTCATGAGATTAAGGCAACAGGAGGAGGTGACTTGATAGGAAATATGAGAGGGATTTACAGGGAAACAAGTTCACTCCAATGATTCACTCTTAATTATCCTAATTATTACAATTAGCCCCAAACAACCTGTTTCTAGATTCTGTGTCAGTGCTATTTTTGTACACAATGTGATGAAGGATTTGGAACAATTAATAACTGAAGAAGTCATGATTTTGATTCTCTCTCTCTAAGTGCCATATCGATTGACTTTGGCGATCATGCTGTTCCACAACCCTCGGTTCCTAGAGAAAAAGGAAGGGTTTATATCAGGTATTGTTTTACTGTTCATTGATCAGTCTCTGTAGGATGGTTCTTGGCCGATTTTTCTAAAACCTTTAGTCTATGGTAATACATGTAGTTCTCTCAAATTTTGTAATGATAATTTCATCCAATTTTTTCATGTGAGCCAGAGAACAATCCATGGAACATTAACGTCAGATTGTCTGTCTACATGATCTGTTCAGAGCCAGAAGGCTGTTTTATTATGTGGTAAATTACGTTTAGTATATGAGTCAATGCCCTTTTGGTTAAGAAATAATGTGTTTATTGTGATTGTTGCAATGACGACCTTCGTCATTGCCTTGTTTTCGTTCACATTCTGCCCCATTAATATTCTCCTTTTCCTCCTTTTCCTGTTCCTTATCGTCAGAAAATCGCATTCGTTTTGCACGTAGTGTTTGTTATTCCTGGTTCGGTGCTTTCCTCATGTCCTTTTTCTTTCAAATTTCATAGGCATGGTCTCTAACATCTCATCAAGGTCACTACATTCTTTGATTTTCGAAATCACTCATGCATAACCGTCCAGGCGCAATTTTATCCGTTTTTGGTCCATTTTAAGGCCTTTCTGTCTTCCTTCCTATCTCCACTATCCTAGATCCTACAAACTTCTAACAAATTCCTCTAGATAGTCTAATAGATGTTCTTTCATCTGCGACGTATGACCTGACCTTCAAAATGCCATCTTCGTACTCAAAATTCAAATCTGAAACTGACTCCGTCAAAAATCTCTCAAATTCTTGAAAAATGGACCCCTAAAAATCTAAAACTGCCATAACTTTCTCATATAAATTCCGTTTTGTGTTTTAATCTCACATTATCTTTATCTCATAATTGCACATAGCCATGCCAAATTTCACGCTCCAATTGCTTTGCACAACATAAATAGCGCCCTCTAAAGTTCTGGGAATTGGCTTTCTCTCTGTGGCCGTATCTCCATAATGGCTTGGCAAACCCGTACCCTTTTTTGGATTTAGATACTT